ATTCATTCAGCTTTCAATTCTTTTCATCTTAGTCACATCTTGTCTTGATAGAAACACGTAGGAAGATTTGTACACATATCTTGATAGAGTGTTTAAAACATAAAACAATTACCTGCAATTTGTCTGATAGTTGCAGAGAAGAAAGAAAGAAGCATGTAAAGGAAGCAATGGCACGGCTGGAGAGGCAACAACTGTTTAGGTTTTATGAAGAACCGGGATAGAGTAAAACTATACGAAGAGTTTTGTTTTAAAAAGAAGTATTTTAGGGATAGAATAGTAAATATTTTGGTCAAACCTAAAGTGCTTATAAGCTGAAATTTGATAAGTTGGGGGAGACCAACTTATGGCTTATGGCTTATTTTTGGCTTATAAGCACTTAACTTATAAGCACTTTTAATTTTACCAAACGCGTAGATAAGCCAAAAAGTGCTTATAAGCCAGTTTGACCAGCTTATAAGCTTAGCCAAACACCCTCTTATCCTTATATAATGGTTGTTCCTTTTCTTTTATCAAGGTTCTCGTTGACTTCAAAAGGTCTGGGGTCATCTACATTTCTGTAAAATCTGTTCACTTTGACTTTGTCTCTGGAATAACAATATCCTAAAGAATACAAATTAAGTCATCACGAGGTTTTGACCAATTTCAATTTCTATTATTTTTTGGGCAGGACTAAGTTGTATAATCTCTGCTTGTTTAGATTGTTCAGATAAATTTCAGTCTTTGATGTAGTTCACCCATTTTTTACAAAAAAGATATTTGCTGATAATATTATGCTCTTTTAATTTAGTATTGTAATTGATTGTTCGTGAAAAAGCCCGAAATGAGTTTGGGTGTTAACTCAAAATTGTACCGTGGAGCACTAATAGTCCCCCAAGTATTCAGAACTAATGCACATTTAGTATAGGATAACAGTTTCAAACACAAACGGCAGAAGCGTAGAAGTCCCAAACTCTGCAACCCAAACATAAGCGATATCAGTTTTCCCCAGTCATACATAACCCAGAGAAAGAATTTATAGAATGTTTGAGGAAGGCCTAGCTGTCGACTACCCCAATTCAGATCAGTATGAATTGGTAACAGTTGGAAAGCTGGCTAAACAAGAAGCATATATATATATTTCACATATTTTCATCAGAGGGATCAGGCGTGTGGCATGAATTCCAATTCAGTATGAAGTTTTTCGACTGCTTGGCTCTCATTGGTAAACCTGTTTACGTGCATAATTCCTTGCATTGGCTCAGAGTTGATGGCCGAGTTCTTGGTTTTGATACAAAGAGAGAAGAGGCTAAAATTCTTGACCTTCCTGAGTTCATCAGTCATCAAGATTCTATTCGCCGTAAGTACATTATTAGCCCTGGTTCCAATACATGGTTAGGGATGGCGCAAGGTTTACTAGCTCTTGTTTGCTGTTTGAATAAATCCATAGTTATTGCTACTTATGATTATGTAAGCAACAATTGGAGAGTTTCCGACACTGTGGACAACTTCATGAAAGCTCCAAACGGCTGTGACTATAGATATGGCTTCCCTATATGGATTGACAGCGGACCTGTGCTTTTCCTAGGAGAAGATCGATTTTTGTATGAGCATGATTCTAAGATGAGTAGGTTTAAAATAACGGCAGTTTTTGACAAACACTATATGATTTATCATCTCCTTTGCCGCTATTTTGAACCATCGTTAGCCAATGTCCAGAAGACACCTTCAGATATAGTCCGCTCTAAACATCTCTCAGCTGTTACCGCAACACTAGATGAGCTCAAACGTTTTATCACTGAAGGTACCAATTAGTTTCAATTCAATTTTGTATTTATTACTTCTTGCTACTATATCCTAAAGGCGCTGAAGCTCAGGATTAGCTATTCCTTTCAAATTGAATGTATTATGTTTTTAAAACATTTTCTCCAGAAGCTAATATTGATCTGGGTCAATCACTTCAGAAATAGAACAAACTAATATTGATGTCATTTTTTTCTCACCGCTAGCTGTACTTATACAGCCATTGAAGTTGAGTTTAAAGGCTCCGTAAGGCTTAAAGCTGAGGAAACTACTTATGCTATAAATTCATTGCATTTCCTGATCCTAAAAAGAATTTGAATTTAAAAGAGTAAAGAAGAATAGCAATTTCAGGTATATATCCTATTCTGAATCAGTGAACTTAAAAGAGAAAAGATGGGAGTTAACATTCATAAAGCTGCTTTACAGTTAGTCATCCCTTCCCTTATCCTTGGTGCACCAGAAAGGTCGTGACTTTTTCAATTCTAGTTTAAAAGCTGGACAATTCTTAATACATATTTTAAAGAATATATTAGGTGGATCAAGCATCAAACTGAGACTGGAGTCTTTCCAGGTTCTATTGGAAATGTTACATCTTTAGGATTAAGCATCAAATTCGTTTCACGGTCAAATTCCTCAAGAACTCAGCAGGTTATTTAGGATTCAAAAGTTGAATCTGAGTTTCAAATTACTAGGAGGGGGAATTCCAGTTAATATTTCGCATTGTGTTAACCTCAAGAGCCTTGTCTTAGAACACAACTATCTCGTAAGACAGATTCCTTCTGATGTTGGATCACTCACAAAGCTAGTGCAACTTTATCTCAGAAATAACAATCCAACGGGAATAATTCCCGCTTCTTTTGGAAATCTAAATCTTTACAACAGCTGCACTTAACATATAACAATTTAGTAGGACAAGTACCTGATTCTATTGCTCGATTGACCAGATTAAGAGAGATTAGAGTAGCAGTAAATAGACTATCAGGGGAGTTTCCTGCTTCATTGTATAATTTGTCCTTTCTTTAATTAATATCAATTTCTTACAACAACTTTGGTGGTAACCTCAGATCCGATATAGGCAACTTGTTCGCTAATCTTTAGATACTTCATTTTGCGCAGAATCACTTCACTGGTTCCATTCCATCCTCTTTAGCCAATGCTACAAAACTGCTGCAGCTTGATATTCCTCAAAATAATTTCACTTGAACCGTACCATCAAGTTTTAGTAACCTACGAAATCTGTTGTAGCTCAATGTTTTTGGTAACTCTCTTGGAAATGGTGCACCTGATGACCTCAACTTCATAGATCATCTAACCNTTGTAAAGATGTACCTTGTAAAGTTAATAGAAGGGTAAACAAAACCTCCAGAAAGAAATAAAACCTACTTATAATTTAGGGAAAGATTGGAATTTTAGTCCTATAATTTAGCGCCTTGTGTTATTGCCGTCCTATGTTATGCGGTTAAGCACATATAACCTTCAATTAAAAGGAAAGTGAGTTCAATCCAATAGCTAACGGAATCCCCTTTCCAAGAATTTCATCATCGCCCATGTTGAGTATACAATGAGTATACACTGTTGAAGAAAAAGGCAAAATGGATATTCAAGAAGCTCTAAACATTGAGCCACAACATATTTTCCCAGGTTACCAAAACTCTTGGGTATATTTCCAATAAAATCGTTTACAGAAAAGGCAAGCTGTAGCAATTTTGAAGCATTTGACCAAAGTGGATGGTATGGAACCAATAGTCTGACGGTTCGCCAAGTAAAGTCTTTGGAGTTAGGGACATAATAGCCTAAATCCAAGCTGTCTCAACTTTGGTCAATCGAGCTAGAGAAGCTGGTAATTCTCCCTCTATATTGTTGTACGATAAGTACAACTCTTGTAAAGATGTAACATTTCCAATAGAATCTGGAAAGACTCCTGTCTCAGTTTGATGCTTGATCCACCTAATATATTCTTTAAAATATGCATTAAGAATTGTCCAGCTTTTAAACTAGAATTGAAAAAGTCACTACCTTTCTGGTGCACCAAGGATAAGGGAAGGGATGACTAACTGTAAAGCAGCTTTATGAAAGTTAACTCCCATCTTTTCTCTTTTAAGTTCACTGATTCAGAATAGGATATATACCTGGAATTGCTATTCCTTTTTACTCTTTTAAACTCAAATTCTTTTTAGGATCAGGAAATGCAGCGAATTTATAGCATAAGTAGTTTCCTCAGCTTTAAGCCTTACGGAGCCTTTAAACTCAACTTCAATGGCTGTATAAGTACAGCTAGCGGTGAGAAAAAAATGACATCAATATTAGTTTATTCTATTTCTGAAGTGATTGACCCAGATCAATATTAGCTTCTGGAGAAAATGTTTTAAAAACATAATACATTCAATTTGAAAGGAATAGCTAATCCTGAGCTTCAACGCCTTTAGGATATAGTAGCAAGAAGTAATAAATACAAAATTGAATTGAAACTAATTGGTACCTTCAGTGATAAAACATTTGAGCTCATCTAGTGTTGCGGTAACAGCTGAGAGATGTTTAGAGCGGACTATATCTGAAGGTGTCTTCTGGACATTGGCTAACGATGGTTCAAAATAGCGGCAAAGGCGATGATAAATCATATAGTGTTTGTCAAAAACTGCAGTTATTTTAAACCTACTCATCTTAGAATCATGCCCATACAAAAATCGATCTTCTCCTAGGAAAAGCACAGGTCCGCTGTCAATCCATATAGGGAAGCCATATCTATAGTCACAGCCATTTGGAGCTTTCATGAAGTTGTCCATAGTGTCGGAAACTCTCCAATTGTTGCTTACATAATCATTAGTAGCAATAACTATGGATTTATTCAAACAGTAAACAAGAGTTAGTAAACCTTGCGTCATCCCTAACCATGTATTGGAACCAGGGCTAATAATGTACTTACGGCGAATAGAATCTTGATGACTGATGAACTCAGGAAGGTCAAGAATTTTAGCCTCTTCTCTCTTTGTATCAAAACCAAGAACTCGGCCATCAACTCTGAGCCAATGCAAGGAATTATGCACGTAAACAGGTTTACCAATGAGAGCCAAACAGTCGAAAAACTTCATACTGAATTGGAATTCATGCCACACGCCTGATCCCTCTGATGAAAATATGTGAAATATATATGCTTCTTGTTTAGCCAGCTTTCCAACCGTTACCAATTCATACTGATCTGAATTGGGGTAGTCGACAACTAAGCCTTCCTCAAACATTCTATAAATTCTTTCTCTGGGTTATGTATGACCGGGGAAAACTGATATCGCTTATGTTTGGGTTGCAGAGTTTGGGACTTCTGCGCTTCTGCCATTTGTGTTTGAAACTGTTATCCTATACTAAATGTGCATTAGTTCTGAATACTTGGGGGACTATTAGTGCTCCACGGTACAATTTTGAGTTAACACCCAAACTCATTTCGGGCTTTTTCACGAGCAATCAATTACAATACTAAATTAAAAGAGCATAATATTATCAGCAAATATCTTTTTTGTACAAAATGGGTGAACTACATCAAAGACTGGAATTTATCTGAACAACCTAAACAAGCAGAGATTATACATCTTAGTCCTGCCCAAAAAATAATAGAAATTGAAATTGGTCAAACCCTCGTGATGACTTAATTTGTATTCTTTAGGATATTGTTATTCCAGAGACAAAGTCAAAGTGAACAGATTTTACAGAAATGTAGATGACCCCAGACCTTTTGAAGTCAACGAGAACCTTGAGTAAAGAAAAGTAACAACCATTATATAAGGATAAAAATAAAAGCTACTGCTGGTCAAATCACAGTTGAGCTCAAAGGCACTTTAACAGCAACTGCTAAATTTACATTTGCAGCTCAAACTTGATCAGTGATCAAATTGTAAAGATAAGGTTAGTGCATTTGATCCTGATTCCTGAGAGATCGTTGCCAATCTTATTTTACTCATTCCGAGTAAATAAACTAACAAAAGAGAGAAATTCTAGATGTTTTGAGGACAGAAGCAACACAGTACAGAAGATCAAGCTTAGTTGTGTTCTACTTTATTTGTTTTTGGTGTAAACAAATTTACACAAAAGATACTGTGTCAATCTTAGATGTTCTAGGGTCTTTGCTAGGATTGCATACCAGTTCTCTTATTTGTACTTACCTGCAAATATGGTTCTCAGTACAACCTATGTATTGATTTTATTAATATATACAAATGTTATCAGTTCAAAAAAAAACTAACAAAAGAAGACTGGAATGAACTTTTCATAAAGCAGCTTCTTTCATTTGTCAACCCTTTTCATAAAAGGTCAGTATTTTGTTCTTTTCCTACTCTTTCATTGTCAATATGTCGTAGCATCATTAATTTCGGACAAGAGTGGGTTACTCTAGTGGTGAGTACCCTCCACTTCCAACCAAGAAGTTATGAGTTCGAGTCACCCCAAGAGCAAGGTGGGGAGTTCTTGAAGGGAGGGAGCCGAGGGTCTATCGGAAACAGCCTCTCTACCCCAGGGTAGGGGTAAGGTCTGCGTACACACTACCCCCCCAGACCCCACTAGTGGGATTATACTGGGTTGTTGTTGTAGCATCATTAATTTGGAATAAGGCTGATAACCTTGCTTTTCTCATTCTCATAAATAATCAAATTATAAATTACAGAAAGGAATGAACTTACATATTGCATAATACTAGTCAACCCTTTGCCGTGCCAAGAACAACAATATTTTAAATAATTGATGCATATTTTAAAGAGGGGGTTCATCAACTCAAACTTGCTAATCACGCTGAAAACAAAAACTTATGGATATTATATTAGGATATCATGCTAGATTTTATTCCATATATATCAGAAGTATATCTCTCTCTAATCTTTGGTCACTATATCCATCTTCAAAACTATTTACATAATAGATTTCAACTTAGAAATTTTATCGTTCCCTCTAATCAGCAATCGTCGTGCAGTAATCCTACTTCACAAGTCACAACCCCTATATAAGAAGCAAACCTAAGGTTGCTGCTCACAAGAGACACTGACATATTTCACATTTTCCTTGATATTATTCTTCCAATGGAACTTCCCACAACGAGTTTTAGCTTTCGCACTTTCTTAACTATCTATGTTGTCATTCTTGTGTTGCGACTCTCACTTTCCTTTTCTTTACAGTATGCTGCAGCTGCAGCACTTAGTAATGAGACTGATAAGCTTGCCTTAATTGGCTTCAAGTCCCAAATAACTAAAGATCCATCCGGAGCTGTAGCCTCGTGGAATGAATCTGTCGACTTCTGTCAGCGGGCTGGAGTATGTAGCCTTAGACATGAAAGAGTCATCAGTTTGAATCTCAAAGGTCAGAGATTGGCAGGTACAATCTCAGCTCATCTTGGGAACCTTTATTTCCTCAATTCTCTTGACCTTACAGAAAATTCGTTTCACGGTCAAATTCCTCAAGAACTCAGCAGGTTATTTAGGATTCAAAAGTTGAATCTGAATTTCAAATTACTAGGAGGGGGTATTCCAGTTAATATTTCGCATTGTGTTAACCTCAAGAGCCTTGTCTTAGAACACAACTATCTTTAAAGGCTCCGTAAGGCTTAAAGCTGAGGAAACTACTTATGCTATAAATTCGCTGCATTTCCTGATCCTAAAAAGAATTTGAGTTTAAAAGAGTAAAGAAGAATAGCAATTATAAGTAGGTTTTATTTCTTTCTGGAGGTTTTGTTTACCCTTCTATTAACTAGAAAGGCTAAAGCAAATCAGGTACCCCTGGAGATGAGAAACAGCTATTGAGCATTCTCCAACAGAGCAGCATAGTAAATTAGCAATGCAAAGGAATATTCGATCGGTGAGTATGGAATTGCATGATGATTTGGTGGTGGAGATCATCTCCCACTTGCCCTTGAAGCTTGCACTTCAATGTAAAATTCTAAGCAAGGGTTTCAATAGTAAGATTTCTGATCCTAAATTTTTTCAAACTTTGCTTCAACATCAAAACATCTCTACACTACTCATCTATTCAGGGTATTTGCCCGAAATAGTCCACAAAAGCTCTATAAACCCTACCCAAACCACTCACTGTGAGACGAGTTTACTCGTTGCCGTTTCAGTTTTGGGCTCATCCAAGGGTCTACTTCTTCTCGACTTTCATGATCTTAAGACTTTTTGTGTTTTCAATCCTATAACTGGAGCGCACCAATTGATACCACACCCAGAGCCCACAAAATATAAATATAGCATTGGTGAGGCAGGCTTAGCTATTAACTACCCTACTTCAGATCAATATAAATTGGTAACAATTGGGAAGGGGGCTGAACAAGTAGGGTATAAATTTTATGTATTTTCATCGGAGGGATCAAGCATGTGGCATGATTTCCAATTCGACATGAATTTGGACAATACTTTCAGCTATTTGGCCCGCATATGATGGTAGTGTTTTTGCTTTTGATACAAAAAGAGAAGAGGCTATGATTCTTGACTTTCCTGAGTTCATCAATCATCATGATTTTATTTCCCGTAAAATTAGGCCTGGTTGCAATACATGGTTAGGGATGGCACAAGGTTTACTTACCCTACTTTGCACCTTGGAGAAATCCATTGTCATTGCTACTTATGATTATGTAAGTGACGATTGGAGAGTTTCCCACACTTTGGACAACTTAGTTACGCCTCTGGAGGGCTATAATTATGGTTTCCCTATCTGGATTGACAGCAAACATGTGTCTTTCCTATTAGAGCATGGATATTTGTATAAGCATAATTCTGAGATTAATAGGTATGAAATTGCTGCAGTTTTTGGCGAAGACTATATGGTTCATGATGGCATGTGCTGCTCCTACGAGCCAACGTTGGCCAATGTCCAAAAGACACCCTCAAACACAATCCACTCTGAACATCTGTTAGATATTACTGCGGTACCAGTTAGTTTTACTTCAATTTTGTATTTTATTAGTTCTTGCTATGTCCATACTAGTCCGTATGTTATTCTTAGCTACAAATTCACTAGTTCAGAGCATGACAGCAACTAACCCACATTCAGGGGCGAAGTTACAGTCCGGTAAGGGTGGTCAATTGACTACCTTACTCGGAAAATTACACTGCCTATATAGGTAAAAATTAGGTTTTAAAGGTATATAACATATATTGAATACCCTTTGTCGGAGTTTTTTTTTTTTTTTTTTTTTTTTTTTANATATGTGCTTATTAATTCTTGTTCACAGAGAAAAACGTCGTCAGATAGGTTTTTTTTTTTTTTTTTTTTTTTTTTTTTTTTTTTTTTTTTTTTTTTTTTTTTAACTTCTTTTAAGTTTGAACACCCTTGGAAAAATTTCTGGCTTCGCCACTACCCACATTTGCATTTTAAATTTGACATGAAAGCATAACAAGGTTGGTGAATTTGTTCGAGATCTTCCAACCTCCCAAGCTCCCACAAAAAAGAAGAAGGGCATAGAAGAAAGGAAAAAAGATCAGCTTGTTTATTTTATTTATCATTTGAATATGCTTTTCAATTTATATAAGTAAAAACTTACGGAAAGAGCTGCACTTATCATACAAGACACGTACCAGATTTAGCAGCTCGTTTGACTCACTTGAAACAGCTTGGATTCTCCGTAAATAGCTTATCAGGAGAGTTCGTTTGACCCACATAAGTCACTTTCGTCTAAAGTCACAACATATGACTGTAACTTCCCAACTTCACACAAAATTTGTAACTTCAGACGGGCATTGTTGCTACTTCAGTCACATACGTCTGAAGTGGATAAAATTGCATTAAAAAAATTGAATTTGCGTACAGCAAACAGTGGCCCCCAAAACAGTGGTCGCATTGTGCTACTTCAGACTTTTTTTAAAAAAAAATTACTTTTGCTACTATTTGAATATTGTTTTTTCATGATTCATTTTAGCTTCTTTGACTACTGCTAGGTCTTCATTAAAGCAGTATATATTCTTAGCATCTTTTGGATGTACTAGCGATCCAATATCAAGAATTAGACGCCTATCAGGAGAGTTCCCTTCTCCATTATACAATTTATCCTCACTTGAATTGATACCACTTAGATAATTTCTTTCCCTATTCTCCAAAGACTTTATCTGGCACACAATTCATTTGTTTTGGCTCAATGTTTGGTGAAATCTGTTACCAGCGGCGGATTCGGGATTTAAACTTTACTAGTTTATCCTTTAAGATTTTTAGCATTGAACTCAATATATTGTTAAAGTTATAGATTCATATCAAATATTTATTGCAATTCTTG